ATGAGATAGCTAAGTCATAATTATGAGATAGTATCTCATGAGATACTATCTCATAATTATGACTTAGCTATCTCATAATTATGAGACAGTATGTCATAATTATGAGATGAGATAGTATCTCATGATTATGAGATAGTATGTCTACTATCTTATGAGATACTATCTCATAATTATGAGATAGTATCTCATAATTATGAGATGAGATAGTATGTCATAATTATGAGATAGTATGTCATAATTATGAGATAGTATCTCATAATAATGAGATAGCTAAGTCATAATTATGAGATAGTATCTCATAATAATGAGATAGCTAAGTGATAATTATGAGATACAAGTTTTATTTTTTTATCAGGGTGGTGGAAATGGGCTTCCATACTTTTTGGCTATGTGTTAAACAATAAGCAATTTCTTTTTTTTTTGTCTCTATTGCACAATTATTTCACCAGCTGTTAGTGATAAAATAAACTCAGCGTTTTGTCAAGCCCTTTGTGTATTTAATCCATGTCCTGCATATCAAGCCTCGTTTTTACCAACTAGTTCACAACTACACCGTGAGCGTTGAGCATTTGGTTACACCATTTTCACATTTTAGTGCACTAAACACTCGTACTAGTAACTCTTCTTTGCTTAGAGGGCCAATTTGAGCAACTAGTTAGAGCAGAAATCATAATCAGCAACTATGCATTAGTAGTTAACTAGTTAGCTTTTTAACACACTAACATTGTGCTAAAATAGTTGACAAGTGAGTTATAAGTTAATTAGTAAGCTTCAAAAGACCCATGTTAGTCAGCACTTGTTATGCTTACTAAATGACTAGTGACTGTCATCATACACATGCAATAGTTGATTAATGTGACTACATTTGGCCTTACTGGTTATCTAGTCAACATTTCATGCAAACTAGTTAACTGGTAAGGCCAAAAAACTTCAGTTAGATAACTAGTGAACATTTTGGGCCAAGGCCAAGTTCATTAGTACAACCAATTTTACTCGCACTAATCATCTTGTGAGACTAAATTTGACTTTACTGATTAACTCAACATTTAAGGTGTTCATGAGTTTATAGGTGCACTAGTTAATTTATAAGGACCTTTTATCTAGCAGAGTTGTAAAGTAACTAAATACAAATACTTTGTTAATGTACTTAAGTAGAAATTTTGGTATTACTTGAGTAATTATTTTTCAGCCTACTTTTTACTTTTACTCATTACATTTATTACAAATTATCTGTACTTTCTACTCACTACATTTTTTAAAAAGGTACGAAGTAGAAAGTCGTTACTCCTATTTTATTCTGAGTTGTTATTACTTAAAAATACTTTGTTGATAAATTGTGTCTCCTGGATAGAGTGAATTTAATTGTAGTTGGATGAGAAGTATAAATATATACCATTCTGACACCCTATTAACTTGTACACAGCTCATCACAGCTGCACACTGTTAGAAAAAATATTTTTTGAAGTCACCTCCCAATAAATGTCAATGTGGAAAATCTAACTGCTCACTTTTGCTACTTTTACTTTTAATACTTAAGTAGATTTTGTGTTAGAAATTTACTTTTGATACTTAAGTACAAAAAATCAGATACTTTAAGACTTTTACTCAAGTAATATTTTTAGAGAAGACTTTAACTTTTACCAAAGTATTTTTTATGATAAGATACTTGTACTTTTACTCAAGTATCACTTTGAGGTACTTTATACAACACTGTTATCTAGTCCGGTGTTTCCCAAAGTTGGGGTCGGGACCCAAAGTGGGTCCTGAAGCATCAAGGTGGGGTCCTGAAAAGATTTTCAGAATTTATTACATTTTTGTCTTAATTGTTACAAAGGAGTGAGGTTAGTGTATTTAAAATGGATAAATGTAGTATTAAAATATTGTTACTATGCCCATGTTTAGTTAACCTGATACAAATGTTTATCATCCAAAAATAGTTGGGGGCACAGGTCTCTGCTACTGTTATTTTGTGGGTCAAAAGCTGAAAAGTTTTGGAACCAGTGCACTTTGGTTCCCAAAGTTGGGCTTGGGACCCAATTATGGGCCATAAAGCACCTTGGATAATCTCCAGAAATCAATTRAAAGGGTAATAAAATAATTGCTAATGTAATATTTTCCCTGTAACTATTACAAAAACACACAAAAATTATAAATAAGTATTTGTATTTGTGTACAAGCTGTTTAGGTTGTCAAAAGTCCTGTGTTTTTAGGGTTATTGACGAAGTTCGTGTACTCAGACCAGTAATATTTGGGGTCACAAGTTTTTGCCATGAATATTTTTTGGGTCACAAGATAAAAAGTTTGGGAACCACTGATCTAGTCAACTAGTGAACAAACGCTGAATATTAAACTTTTTGTTAACGCCTATGTATTTTTAAAGCTTAAAGCTACAACACAATTGATCCAGTGGGCCACCAGTACAATAAAAATACAACTAAAGTGGAATTTTAGGCAACTAGATCAGCAAATTAACCATTACTTCTGCTCTTGCTAGTTGTGGAAAATGCCACAGCTGGCAAAAAAAAAAAAAAATAGTATGAGCGCGCCAAAAAGTTAAACAAGTGTTTAGAATTCTGCATCGAGTTCAATGTAGTTGCAAACTAGTGGGCTATATAAGCTGGAAGTCAGGGGTGTTGAATAAATACACAATCGGCCTGCCCTACAAGCACTGATAGGTCGTCCCTGATTTAAGATGCTTCCCACCGCCGTCGCTTCTACCCGGTGATTAAAAAAGAACGCACCCTTTGTGTTGCTCAAAACAAGCCAAGAAAGTTCATCGTCACTTACTTCCGTCTTCGCTATTAACAGCTTTAGTAAATTAGGTCACCTATATTGCAAAGTTAGTATTCTTTATAATTTTATTTCAATATCAGTGACGCCATAAAGAAACAAAAAGTCATTTTAACACGTGCTCTTTTCGCGTATGACAAATATTTGGAAAAACATTTAGAATTCGCGTCGGGCAATGAGCGCCAGCGGCGGGTTATTATCTTGTCAATCAAAGACACGGTCCGTTGAGAGCAGTTAAAAAAGAAACCGGGTTACTACAATCAGAAGCGGTAAGCAGCGCCATCAGTGACACAGTTTATTATTTGTTTTCGTCACCTCTGCAGCTAATAAAGACGCCGAGCTGTGCATTTAACCACAGTTGTTATTACTACCTATCGGGGGTTGTTGTTATGTGTTAGCTAATGGAGTCAAAGTGGCGCTGGGATGTGGCGCCTTGTGGAGGAATTTAAAGAAAAAACAATAAAGCAATGATGAAGAAGGTCCCTGTCGTTACATTAGCAAACCGACTGCTGTAGCTGCAGAGAGGAACACCGGGGAAACAGCGACATGAAGGCTCGTGTGCCACCATGGAGGACCAAAGTAAGTGTGTGAGTGAGAGTGTGCATGTCTGCTGCTAGGTGTTTGTTTATGAAGGATCCTGAAATCCCCACCCTCCTTCAGGAAAACTCCCGGGAGTCCCGCACTGATTCATGCTTTGTGTCATTCAGCTAAAGTTTGACTGAAAAAACAAATAATAATTAAAGCAAGGAAAGTCAGCTGCAACAAAAGCTGCCATGCTATGGTAGCATCAGTTTTGTCTGTTAAATCTTTCATCAGTAAAAGAAATGATGATTAGACACTATTGCAAACTATAAAATAAAACATAATACAATGTTATCCTAAACTGTATACAATGATGCATTTTGAGAGCATTTACTTCAGCTGTTTTCTAAATATATTGAGCTGTAATTCTAAAATGCGGGTCCGCACTCAGTGTAAACAAGGCAGAACCAGTCAAAAATTACGTGAAAGCTTGAGTTGTGATTAACCTACACTAGGTTGAACATATTTGGTTATATTTACAAGAAAAATAGATGAAATACTCTTTGTTTTCAAGTCCATTTCATTTGTGATTGTTAAAAAAAGCTAAGCACAAAAAAAATACCACAAAATTATCAGATTTCTTAATTAAATATTTTTCTTTTTTTTCTTCAAATAGCGGCCAACAAATTTTTTTTTCAAATTTGAGGACATAAAACCCACTTTCATAAAGAGGCCACTGTCCTCAGAGGCTGACAGTTCCTAAATATTGTCTACCAATGAAATGGATGCTTTTTGTGTGCATGTTTGTGTTCCTGTTAGTAAAACATTCAATGTATTTTGATGAAACATTCAGTAATAAATCGTTGGCTGTACATTTACAGCTGATTAACTTTTGAAGTTAATTCTAATGAAAATGGCCACCACAGCTGCCACATTAGCCAACGCAAAAGTGGCTACGACTCAGTGAGTTTTGCATATATTAAGATAAAATTTGATGTGGTAGTAGCTGAGAGTCGTTCATAGCACATGCTCTAAATTTGTTGTCGTGCGATCCAAGGTTGCTCATGTGAGGTTTGATATAAACGGCGAAAACTTTTAACCGTTTTTAAACATGAGCATTTTTTTGTGCTGGTTAAGGCTAATTCAAGGAATACTAGGCTTTTAATTGAAAATACTTTTTCCATTTCAGACACACTTCTCTGGATGATTTCCATCCTTGCACATTGATATAAGAGCCATAAAAGTTCAGATTTCAGGGCGTCAGTTTCTACATATTCACTATCAAACTGTAGAAAGAATTTTTCAATATTAACTTTTATATAATCAAACCAATGATTGCATTTTTCCCTAAGATTGTCCTATATGTGTAGCATTTCTGCCTGATCAGGGGCCAATTCAAAGATAAATTCTAATGCAAAAGACTAGTTTTACTAAAATAAACACTTCACTTTCATTCATACAGTAAAACAGCCACAGTATTAAGTCATCTCTCCAAGGATAATAGCTGCATTTCCTCTTTTGATATATGTGAAGAATGCCTAATTCCCAAAATACGTCTGTTATTATCAACATGTTTTTATTTGTAATTACGCTATTTTGACACCATATTTTGTGCAAATATGAGGCTAATTGTCAGGTTTTCATTACATTTTAGGATTTATATGCTCACCCTGAATTCTGAACTTAATGTCTAGGGGTGTAAGAAAATATCAATACACTGAAATATCGCGATATTTCATTTCCCAATACTGTATCGATATTCTAAAGCCCTGTATCGATTTTTAATTAAGGTTTAAAATGTCAACTTTCCTGCCAACCTTTCATTTTTATGTTGTAGTTCAGCCTCTGACCACTAGTTGGCAGCAGTGAGCCAGCCATTTGGCTCCTCTACCTCTTGAGCGCCAGAGAGTAAGGGTAGCATTAGCATTGTAGGAGACAATGTAAGCATTGTAAGTAAACATTAGCTTTTCTTTTTTTTTAGTAAGAGGTTTTTATTTAATAGAATTTTTGGACAAAAAAAATCGCAATATATCGCAATATATCACCTTGCTTACAGTATCGCAATATATCGTATCGTGACCCCTCTGTTATGATATGTATCGTATCACCAAATTCTTGCCAATACACAACCCTATTAATGTCTATGAAAACTAGAGAAAGTACATTTTCTGTTGTACATTTGTATTTAACGCTTTTCAAGATTGGCAGCCCCAAGCAGTCAGTCTAAAACTCAGTGTGTTTTATAAGTATTAAGTTAAAATTTGGTCTAATTGAAGCAGAGTTATCCTCAACACAATCTTCAAGAACAAACTTGCAAGTTGTTGGAATACAGTACACGTTTGTGTCATTCACAAGGTTCGAAAACAGCTGCAACTTTATTTTTGTAATGTTTGTTTTTTCTGACTTGGTGTACAATTAACACCTAATAAATGTGCTGTTTTTATAGGACATACACTATGAGTATTTCCCTGTTTCAGAGAATTCAAAGGGGGGAAAAAAGTGAAATCATTCAGAAAGTATAGCAACAGCCTTAATTATAAACAATAACATCCTTCTTCATCCTCAGGCGCTTCTCTGCAGCTTCTGTAAAGCTCGTGTCCACTGAGTAAAATGGACCCGGAACTTAACACAAACAGTTTTTATAAGAGGAGATATTAAAAAGGGAAAAGGTAGTGAAAGGAAATTGAACGTGTGTGTAGCCGGGTGCGTCTTTGTATGTGTGTGTGTGTGTGTGTGTGTGTTGGAATTTCCCGCATGGACTGAGAGGGATCTTGCTCCGTAAATTACAGCGCTTTCCGTGTCGGAGGAAGCGCCTTATATGGGCAGTGGGGGAAGTGGGCGGTGTCAGATCGCTGACGGCTGCTGCTGTGGAGAGGAGGAGGAGGAGGAGGAGGTGGGGAATCACAAGACAGAGCAACGGAGACGACATGCAGCTCAAGGCCGCATTGTCAGCATGAGGTGGTGTTTTTTTTTGTGTGTGAGTGTGTGTGTGTGTGTGCAATCACAGTGCAATAATGTGCAACAGACAGCGGCTGCACTGCGAACCTGCTAATGCCCATTAACGCGCCCTTTTTTTTTCTACCTGGGAAAGGAGCGTGTTTTTACGCGGCGACCCTGTTTTGCTTGGACGGAAGGAAGGGAGGAAAAAAAAAACAGATTACAAATGCGTGAGGTCAGCAGCGTAGCATGAGTCAACCCCCCCGGCGTTGTGTGCAGTCATCACCGCGGGCCTGCCGCCGCTGCTGGCCGCTCAGAGCCGCCTGTGTGCCGCAGCTTTCAGCGCAAACACAGTAAGTAAGGGTGGTGCGGGGGGGAAACCGTGCTTCTGTTGCGCATCTCGTTGTTTATTTGCTGACAAAGTTTTGTTTACTATGGACAGCGAAAAGTACTGTTCGTTGTCTGCAACGACAACAACAACAAAAAAAGGAGGGAGCTTCTCGTAGACCGCGATGAGGCTGGAGAAAGTGGTGCGGGGGTCCAGGAAGAGTGAGTGTTCCTGCAGCGGCCTGCACGGTGCCACACGCCGCTCAGACAAGACGGTGGGTTCAGGGCGGCTAATCACGGTGCTTGGCATTTATTTTAAGCCAGTTTGCAGCCGCGTTGTGGGTTAAAGCTCAGGCTTGTGTAAGGTCGTGCTGTTGGTGACGTCACCTCATGGAGTGTGCTCACAGTGGGAGTCAGCCAGAAGATGGAGAGAGAGGGAAGAATCTGTTGATGTGCACTTTTCTACAGAAAGCATCACAGCATGTGTGTTTAGCTGCGATCACATGGAGCACACACACAAACACACACACTCTTGATTGTGTTTGTTGGTCATTTTGCTTTCCTCCGTCAGTGGTGCCCCCCAGCCAGTCAGTGCAGGATCCGAACAGCTGCACGTGTCTATTTTAAGAAACCCCCGTTTCACCAGACCACCAGAGCAAAGAGGGACAATTGTAAAGCACTCCCCCCGAGCAGTCAAGAGGTACCCTGGGTTCAGATTTTTGTGTTCATTTACAGAACCGTGTTGTCAGATTGCTTTTGTGCAGAGATATGTTTTAATACCACCCCTTCAAATGCATAAGGGTGGTGTTGTTTTGTCTGTTAGCAAAATATCTCATGAACCACCGGACCTATCGTAATGAAACTCGCAGGAAGTAATCAGTAGATGTACATCTATGACTGATTAACTTTTGGAGTCAACCCAATTAAAGACAGCCGCCGCAGACGACTAAACTTATAAAACATAACAATGGCTACAGCTCAACCAGTTGTAGAGATATTAGGCTAAAATTTGGTGTGGTTGTAGCTGAGCGTGATTCCCAATATATAAAATAATTGGTTGAGGGATTTACAGCTGAAAACATTCGGAGTGAATCCAGTTCAAGATGGGCACCGCAGTTTGTCAACATTAGCAGCACAAATGTGAAAGTATGGTAACTTAGTCCTTTCTATTATTGAGCTATAGTTTAATGTGGTAGTAGCAGAGAGTCGATCACAACACGTACTCTGAATGTGACATGTTGTGATGTTGCCTAAGATTGCACAATGTTATTTTCAACGTTTGACCAAAGGAGCTACAACTTGGTCACTTTTCAACAAAAGATGATTTCAGATGAAATCTCCTGCATGAAAGGTGGCGGTTGATATGCGAGGCCTTTCTGCGTTTAAATTGCTGCTTTGGCACAGATGGAGCGGTTGAAATTTGACAGATTGTGCCAAAATCTGCTGAACAACAGGCTGTTATGTAAAATATTACCCGCCTGGGTTGCCACAGTAATTGTTGAGATCCACTTTAAGTTACTGATACCTGCAAGGCCATTTTGACTTTCTCCCTCTCTCCCTCTCTCTCTCTCTTTTCCTGTCCTTTTGCATAGATTGCTGCACCGTGACTCACTTGCTCACTTTCAGTTGCCCTTCCTTTCTGAGATGACAGCCATGGTTCAAAGGACACGAGTTGCCTTTTTGTGTAGCCTCTTGATGAATCACACAGTTGTAAAAAAAAAAAAAGGTGGTTACTGTGTGTTTGGCTTGGTCAAAGCAGATTGTTTGGCAGGAAAGAAAGAGTTTACTTTCAC